AAGCCTCCTGGGGCTTTTTCAGCAGTGAAAATGCACCTCTGAAAGCCGCGCTTTGGCAAGATAAAATGAATATCTTGCCAAAAATTATTTCTTTTTCAAACAATCCTGATTATTTTAAAACAAACAATATTTAAAGACCTAGAAAATGTATCTCTAATCTCATTTGGCAAGGGAAACGAGAATTAGAGCTACATTTCTGCAAGACCTGAAATCAAGAGGAAGAATGGGACTTCCAAATGAGCTGTTGTATTATAGAGCATCTGCATTGGTTTGGATTAAAGAGTGGATAATGTGAGCAAAGCCAGTTCCCTAAGAAACTGTTCTGCTACGGGACAGAGAGGATTCTGAGTGAATGAAACAGGCAAAACCGGGTCCAACAATTTTACCCTAGGGCTGCACCTTCACTCATGCACCAAGTCTGACCCGATTTCTTTGAGAACCAAGATATACACATGAGTTCTAGGGAATCTAATTCTCCTAGTACTCAGGAATATTCTGGACCCAAGGTAGCGTTACTTTTCCGTGGCCTTGTAAAGAATAACCATTTAGTTAAACCAAATAACCAATTGTAGCATTTGTTCTATTCAAGAAGCCAAATGCCAGATCTTAAGAAAAATAAAGTTCTGAAAGAATAAAGTTTATGCAAAGCAAGGCATCTATGTACATTTCCATCTCATCCAGTTAGACAAGAAACTGGACTCCTCTAGAAGAAACAAGCATAACAAACTTACTAACTAATGAAATTGGGAAAGGCAAGCTTCCCCTCTAACTTAAGCAAAAATCTACATCTTAAAATAATACTGTAAATCCCATTGTCCATAATTCAATCAAAGACATACCAATCTTCTGTAAAATCCACAATCCATCAGTCCATTAGGAAAAATCCTCTGCTAAAATTCATCAAACAGAAATAAGTCCCTTCTGTGTCTTTCAACCGTCCTCCATGTTCACTTTCTCTCTCCTTCTGCAACTTACTCCCGCCTTCTTCTTCACAGCTAACAACCAATCAGGGGTATGGAAAAAAGTAACTTGTCCCACCCTATATTCTCATGAGACTACAGATGTTATTGTTACAAGCTCCTAGAATGTTATGTCTTTGCTCTCTCTGTACCAGGCCACCGTTACTAGGTAACGAGATAACAGGTCAGCCTGACCAATTTCTGTGAAGCAAAACTGCCTTTTGGGATTTTCCACTTTCAAACGCACAGAGACCAAAATGATTCTTTTAGGCTAACTTCATAACCACATATCCCATCAGTAAATCACTTTCTAGCTTTCATAACCAAATTCATCACAGATAACATTGGGAAATACAAGGCTATTAAAATTAGAAGGACATGATCTGAAATGGGGTTGGCAAACATTCCTGTGGTACAATAGAGCAGAGGATTTTAAGCAGTTCAACAACCACACACTGAGGAAAGCACTTTTATGGACATGGAATAAAGTAAAGAACCAAATGTAGAGGAAAATTCCACACTGGGTGACACCAATTGAGGCATTTGCCCCCCCCCCCAAAAAACCTGAAAGATAATAAGAAAATAGTAAAATACAGTGAGATTCTTAAACTTTGATGACTCTCTCAAAGCCCAACAAGAATTAGTGGATCAAGGAATTGAAATGGACTGGTGGGCTCAATCTCAGCTATCATCAAGATTTGTTCTCAGTTATCATCAAGATTTGTTAAAGAAAAACAACAAGGCTTCTATTTACAAAATACACCATTTGATAGAATCCTTCTAGAGACAGAAGGAAAGCATATTAAGCTATTGGGCACAGAATGTTGGGCACAATATATAGAGTGATATGGAATGAATATGGAAAACAAATATAAAATTAACTAAATCTGTTACATTTAAAGAGAATATTTACAAAATGTTTTACAGGTGGTATATGATACCCCTAATTTTAGCCAAAATGAATGCCCAAATATCAAATATATGTTGAAAGTGTAAACAGAAGGATCATTCGATCACATGTGGTGGATTTGGGACAAAGTGAGGCTGTTCTTATAAGAGGTTCTTGTAAGTCCAGTTCCTACCGTGTTTCCCCGATAATAAGACACTGTCTTATTATTTTTGGGGGACAGAAAAACACCAGAGGGCTTATTTTCAGGGGAGGGCTTATTTTAATGAACATTGATAGCCGAAATGGCCGAGCACAGCGTTTTTGCGCCCTCCCCTCGCTTACCGAGGGCGCGAAAATCAATCTCATCTCGCC